CAAATGATAGGATTTTGAGTTTAAGAAAGAGATTATTGAGTATGAATGAGTATAAGTATATGTATGCAAGTTAGGGATGTTAAAGGAGGTGAATTATGAAGAGTTGAGTTGAAAAGAGAGTGATTTTCGTGCTTAAAATGGCATTTCTGGGCTAGGGGTATTGTACCCATTCAACAGGTACAGATACACTCTCAAACGAAAGAATCACAGAATGTATTGAGGGTATCGATACCCTCAGCTGGGTACCGATACCCCCTTGAACGAAAAATCACAAATGCCTTGAGGGTATCGATACCTTAAGTAGGGTATCGATACCCCCTAAAGGAAAAATAGAACAATGATTCCTTAAATTTGTTTAAGTTTTTAGAAGCAAGTTACAAGGTTTAGGCATCTGATATGGATCCGTGTATGATTATGTAGATACTAAACGTAATCTCATTCCGGAATAATTGAAGGATTAGGATCAATTCAAAACAACAAGGCTAAGGTGAGTGCATATTAGAGATGTAGTTCAAATGAATTAAGACTTGTGATAAGTCTATTTCCTAGATTAATTTCATAGTATGGTAGTTATGAACATACATACATTATAGTTTTTATTAAACATGCATAAGTTATATATGTTGACATATGATTCGATACAGGATCCATGTGAATGTACTCAAATACTTATGTTACATGATATGAGATTAATGGTTATATGTACATGGGAAATGTGATAGAACAAATTATATATGTGATTACAAGGGAAATGATACAACTACATAGTTATATGAAATATAATATTAATGCTCATATTATGTAATATGAGAGCTATAGGTATAGTTGGCATGCCAAGAGTCGAGGGTTTCATAGGTCCTTCGGGACAATTTCATATGCCACTCAGTGGGAATTATACGAGCTATGGTGACAACAGATGTGCACAACCTCTATGTACTCGAATACCTTAAGTTCTCAGTATATACACGGGCCTATAAATAATGTGAAAAACGTGTATTTCATTATATGTTATAGTATCATATTGTTTATAGCAAATCATATGAATTGATATGGAATTTTGAATGTTATGTTGCATGTTCATATACATAATAGATGCATTATTATAGATTTATGCCTCACTAAGTCTATGACTTAGCGTGTAAATAATTTACACGTAGGTACAGAAAAGCAAGAAGACCAGTCTTAGGAGTACCAGAGCAGTATATCCTCATTTGAAGATCACATCAGAAGCACCTTATATAGTATGTCGGTTTATATTTTATATGGGTTGACATGTAAATAGAGTCATATGGTATGTACGCTCTGATCGAGGTGTAATGTTTTGAACTCGGTAATGTAATTATAGTTTTCTATTAATGAAAGTTTTAAATTTATGATGGTTTTATAAATGCACAAGCTTTGAAAAGTCAATGTGACACCTTGGATTCGTATTCGGGTCGGATACGGGTTGGGGGTGTTACAGTCTGTCGGTCTTGTCCTTGGAATCGATCAAGGCCCATTTTTTCTCGGGTTTCAGCTTCAAGGACCTTTCACATTTGAGACTATCTTGTTTGAAAATATTTTTCTCCTTTCTTTTATTTTAGGAAAAAATGATTTTATAAAGTATTGCCCCTTAATTAAGGCTTACAATCAAATCACATCATAAACATGAGCTCAAAGAATATCAAAAGAATCAATAGCTCTTTAATGCTTTCAGAGTTATAGGTTTTTGACAAGTATCAAAATTTATAAGTTGGCTTCCTATTTTCTAAGGTTTCGACCACCAAAATATCATTTCTTTCTCGGTTCTTTTGAACATCGCAACATGCCCCTCTTCCTTAGCTTGGCATTTTAATTGGATGCAGACAAAATGACGCAACTAGCATAATCAATTACTAGACTTTCTAGAACACTTTTATTCCAGTTCTCTGAAATCTTTCATTTGTTCAAGCTTCGTAGACTCCTCTAACAAAGGCAGTGCAGAAATATCGGTCTAAAAATGAAATTCCTAAGTGCTCGTTTGAAATTGATTATAACAGGTGTTCCTTAACTCCCTTAGTCCATCAATACCGAAAACTCATTGTTTAGATAAATTTGATTTAATTTGTCATTGTTTGGCTATCTGAATTCAACTTTATTGTATCATAATCGCCTTTATCGGGCTAACCGAAGGGTTCATCTCATCACATTGTCTTCAACTTGACAATTTCAATGGAGCAAACACCGAATTGCCAAGTATTCGAGCAATGTCATGGTTTGAATGCAATCTATTCATAAAGCCAGAGCTTTTGAGTTTCCTCTATAACCAATTGTCTTATCAAAATAGCTCAGCTTTATTGTATGCATAAATAATTACATTCTGGATTCGACTTTTTAACCAGTTTCCTCTTTAGAGTTCAATTTTCAAGCAACTGACAAAAAAATAAATTCACCTACTCGACTATTCCATTTGTAAAGATCATCATCGTTATTGAACGTCATCAAAAGAAGTATGGTCTAGTCAGTTTTGTAATGGCATACGCAAAAGATGTCTCATGTTGTCCGCTCCTATACATACCTAATTACCAAGTCTCTTGTTTATTCCCTTATGAGAGGAGAAGGTTATATCGGTTCTTGCAAGAGAAGGGTATGGTATTCGAGCATATCTTCTAGGGTAAGGTCAAGGTCATTGTTTTATCAGTT